CCAGCGGATGAAATGTGCGCGCGTGTGTGCGCGTGTTTTTTCGACGGTTCGTCGGCCCGGGTTCGGAGCGCGCTCGAACCTGCCGCGCTGCCGAACTTCGTAACTTCTTCGCGTGGTCCAGCCAGTGGGGTTCTCCAATCGACATTAAGCGCCATGGCAACTGGACCGCACCTCTGCAACTTGAGCCAAGACGCCCACTGAAAGCGCGGTCTGACATCGCCAGGGGCACGGTATGAGATTGCCCTGTGTGTTTGTGTTTGTTTGACGGTTCGTGGGCCAGGGTCCGGGTCGCGCTCGAACCTGCCGCGCTGCCCAACTTATGATCCAGCCGGGGGCTTCTCAGATCAGCATCGGGCGGCGTGGCCACCGAATTTCGCCTCCACCGCTCGAATCAAGATCTCCACGGAAGGCGCGGTGTGACATTGCCGAGAAGAGGGTCTGATACCGCCCAGTAGATGAAGTGCGGCCCTTTTGACTGTTCGTCGGCCAGGCTTCGGGGCGCGCTCGAACCTGCCGCGCTGCCAAGCTCCGAAGCTTTTGCGCGCGATCCAGCTGGGGGCTTCTCAGACCAGCATCATCACACAGCATGGCTACTGAACCTCGCCTCGGCAACTTGAGCCAAGATGTCCACTGAAAGCACGGCCTGGCATGACCAAGAGGCCTGTCTGATATTGCCCAGTGCATGTGTGGTGTTTTTGTTTGACTCTTCGTCGGCCAGGCTTCGGGGCGCGCTCGAACCTGCTGCGCTGCCAGACTTCGCGACTACTGCCCAAGGCGGCATGGCCACTGAACCTCGCCTTAGCAACTGGCACCAGGGTGTCTACTGAAGGCACAATCTGATTTTGCTAAAAAGACGGTCTGATATTGCCCATGGGCGCGATTACAAGCTTCGCCCAATAATTATACCACTGCGGCGCTCTTGGACATGGCAAAAGATTGAGATGAACACGCGACCAGCCGAATTCGAGCCTGGTTCGAACCTGCTTTTCGGGAAGTCCCGCGCGAGACGCTCACTTTACTACCGTTCGGTACCGAGTCCGAGCCTGGTTCGAGCCTGACGTTCGAGGAAGTCCCGCGCGACATACCCACTGTTCTATTGTTTGGAACCAGCTTCTGTTTTATGGAACCGACTTTGAAGAAGTTCCACGCGGTCAGTTCGCCGTTTAGGATCCGCCGTCCCACTTAGCCTTCTAAAAATCTAATTGGGGGTGTAAGCCCGAAATTGTCCGCCGCCCGCAGACGCAGCCCCACTCTCGTCACATTGTACCAAGCTCCGCGCGCCGAACGGAATGCCTCCGATGCGCGCTGCGATAGCCTTTCAAAATTGGGCGAGCCAGGAAACCTTCATGCGCGCGCATCAGTTCAGAACTTCGGATGGCCTGGCCAAGTTTTGGGGAATCGGAAACCACCGCAATGCCAGGCCACGTGCGTCAGTCAGTGCCACGGGATACTCAAGCAGACTTGCACCATTCGGGTGCACGCCGCAGAAAAATCGTCAAGGCTTCAAGAGCCACTTTGCTGGCAACCAGATCCAGATGGAACGCACATTGCACGGCGGAGGGTGAGGAGAAACTGCTTCACTTGTGCAGGAGGGTGCTGCGTCGCTTTTCAGTTCACGACACAAAGTGCGGGCAAGTCATGGGTAATAATCTCCCGGTCATGGTCCACGGCCAAATCATAGCCCGAGCAATGCGGGGCACGACCTGGCCGTGACTGCCCATCAAGTGCCCAATCTTCCCCTCCCCCACACGACAGCCCAAACAAGGCACCAAGCGGGCGGTCTCCTTGCGAGGACCCCGACGAGGCCACCTCTCCCGAAACAGAAGGGCCGGGGAAACAATGCCAACGCCGTGAAGATATCCGTGCTGCGCGGGCCACTCCGTGTGCGGAGGAAGAGGAGGGAGGGAAGACGCAGGACGGATGAGGATGAGGAGTAGAGTAAGGAACAAAGAAACGGCGGAGGGGAGAGGGAGAGGGAGGGGGGAAGAGGAGGGAGACCCCGCCACATTCCATGCCAACACTGCTGTCCATTCGTTTCGAAGCGTGGCCGTGGTGTTGACTACCGGTCGTGAAATGGTGGAGCGCAGAGAACGGGGGGTAGAAGGAAGGATGAGGAGGAGGAGGAGGAGGAGGAGAAGGAGGAGGAGGAGGAGGAAGAGCAGGAGAAGCAAGTGAAGGAGGAGGAGGAGGAGGAGGAGGAGGAGGAGGAGGAGGAGCACGGCACAGCTGAAGGCACGACCAAGCTCGCCAAGCACACACCAAGGAACCGAAAGACCAAGACCACACGAGCCCTGAAGGAACCCGACTCCTCGAGCCGACAGCCTACGGCCGCGTGCCGCCACTCACCGACGACCACGCTCGTCAAGCACTTTTTGGTACGCGGGCGCGCGAAAAGGCCAGGCAAGCAGGGGCAGGCTGTGCCACCAGCCAAGAGAAAAGCAGAGAGGCGAGCAAAGCCAAGCACAGAGCAAGACAGAGCGGGACGCAGCTCAGCCAAGGGAAAAGCAGAGAGGCGAGCAACGCCAAGCACAGATCGGGACAGAGCGGGACGGAGCTCAGCTAAGGAAAAAACAGAGACGCGAGCAACGCCAAGCACACACACACACACAACGGGAAAACATGGCCAAACCACACGAGCCCGGCAAGAACCCGACTCCTCGAGCCGACAGCCTACGGCCGCGTGCCGCCACTCACCGACGACCCCGCTCGTCAAGCACACACAACAGGAAAACATGGCCAAACTACACGAGCCCAGCACCGTCGCTCCCCGGCTCCCGCGCGCCCGAGGCCCCGGCCGCGGCTCACCATGCGACACTCCGACGGGGCCAGCTCGCGCCAGGCCCGCCCTTCGAGGAGGGGATCGACTGCAGAATTGGCTTGATTGCTCGTCGAATCCATGAATCAAACTTGATTTGCTCGTCGAGTCCATGAAACAAACTTGATCTGCTCATAGATTGGCTTACCCCAAACTTAATTTGCTCGTCGAGTCCACGAGACATGCGTATACGTGTTCGTAGGCAGAGGAACCTCCTGCGTTGGACTCGACGTGGAAATCAAGTCCAGGTTACATCAATTCTGTAGTCGATCCCCTACTCGAGCCCTCGACGCCGTTGACCGCACCGCTCGTCGAGCCCCTGGCGATGAACCGAGCGCGGGCGAGACCACCGAACACCAATTTTTGGGCCACAGGGGCGCGCGCCGCATGCGAGCTTGCTCTGAAAGCGTCCCCACCGAACAGCCCTGCCATGGGGAAACAACCAGATACCCATACTAAAAACAATTAGTGTACACTCCCCCTCTCCACAACAAACCAAGTTGGCACGCGCGGGGAAGACCGCGGGCGAACTGCAACTCAGTGCACCCACCGCCAACTTTAGAGTATAGTAGTAGTAGTAGTAGTAGTAGTAGTAGTAGTAGTAGTAGTAGTAGTAGTAGTAGTAGTAGTAGTAGTAGTAGTAGTAGTAGTAGTAGTAGTAGTAGTAGTAGTAGTAGTAGTAGTAGTAGTAGTAGTAGTAGTAGTAGTAGTATTAGGAGTAGTAGTAGTAGTAGTCGTCGTCGTCGTCGTCGTCGTCGTCGTCGTCGTCGTCGTCGTCGTCGTCGTCGTCGTCGTCGTCGTCGTCGTCGTCGTCGTCGTCGTCGTAAAACGAATAGCAGTAGTAGTATCAGTATCCGTAGAAGTAGCTGTCGTGGTAGTCATAGTGGTAATAACAGTGGTGGTAGTACGAGGGGCGCCAGTAGTAGACGGGTAGTAGCACCAGTAGTGGTAATATTAATAATTGTCGTCGGGGTAGCAATATTATTGAGCTCCCTACTGGAACCGTATTTCGGGCCCTCTTGCCATCCATTGGGGGCACATGAGGTTCATGTTTGCGCGGTACTTGAAACCTACTCCAACGTTTTCGTCTTCTGCCAATATCATACTGGAATATGAGGGACGTCCGATTGGCCCCCGCGAGGAGAACTCTTGCATCCACTTGGAATTCGATGAGGGCGTTTCGGAATTATGGGGTCCTATTCCATCCGATTGGAACCCCAATAGAGGTCCTATTGGAGATCTATGGGGATCCCATTGGAATCCTATTCGCCCGAGCGACGACAAACGACGGAAAACGCGCGCCACGACTGGTTGACTTCGAGGAACGGGAGTGGCGCGCCCCCAGGACAAGTGGTGTCCGAGACGAACGGCGGCGCGGGCCTGTGCGACTTACCAACTAGCGCCGCACGACGGACGAACGACGGGCGACCCTCATGCGGCTTACCTACTTGTAGCCGATTAAACCCCCCTCATAGACGCCAACGCCGTACGGTGCACGCAAGTCGCCCGCGGATACAAAGACGGCATTAGAAGAACGACGAACGGCATCGTCATCAATTCTCTCAGGTCCGCGCGGAGCTCCGCAAGTGTTTCTCTTTATGCCGTTGTCTGTTCGTCGAGACGAAGCCACCGGAAACGACGATCACGACCACCTCGGGGGTTCGTACAGGACGGGTTCTCCCAAGATGGGGCTGAGGAATGAGCCCAGCTGGAGGCTCAACTTGTCCTTCTTCCGGGAGCCGTTTGGAGCGATTGTCCTCCCAACCCCGCCTCTGCCTCGACGTCGCCTGTCGCTGGCTTTCGGGTCCTACCGTGGGCCTCCGGCGGCCGCTCGGGACGATTTGGGCAGCCCTGGAGCGCCCACGGCGGGGCGCAGCCAGTCGGAACGTATCCCGAGGCTGGAGGGCCGCCGAGAACGTCCGCACCGTCCGAAAGCCTCGGACTTTGACTGGGGGACCAAGAAACCGACACCGCTGCTCCCCAGACCTTGCCCCCGGCGCGTGCTGACCAGAATCTCGAAGCGAATCCAGCGGCGACGACGAGGGCCTTCCAGGAGGCCCCGAAAGGGGAAAGCGAGGGATGGGCAGTGGTGTGGGTACCTCATCCTCCTTTGCTCGATCCTGGGAGCTTCGTCCCCCCCTGAGCCTCTGCGCGCGCCCCCCCCCGACACCACGGCGGCGGGGTC